AGCAGCAGCAACACGCACGCCAGGCGGACAGCTCCGTGAAGGGGCCTTTATACCATCGAGGAAGAACATGCGGCCGCATTCGCAGTACACCGGCCCCTGCTGCTGCTGCTGCTGCTGCTGCTGCTGCTGTTGGTTCTCCTGCTGCTGCTGCTGCTGCTGGTCTTCATCGGCTGTATCCTGGTCTGCTGCTCTGCAGCAGCAGGCAGCAGCAGCCTCAGCAGCAGCCATCAGGGTCTCTGGCGAGGGGCCCCACAGCTGCAGCAGCGGCTGCGGCGGAATACCCACGAGAGGTGTTGGCGTTCTATGCGTGAAGGTGATGATTCTCTCTGTTGCTGTTCCTGCTGCTGTTGCTGCTGTCACCATAGTTGCTTCGATTCTATGCATGTCTTTGCCGCGTTCTTCCCGGTTTGCTGCTGCTGCTGGAGCTGCTGCTGCTCCTGCTGCTCCTGCTGCTGCTGTTGCTGCTGTTCCTGCTGCTGCTGCTGCTGCTGCTGTTCCCGTCTCGTCTCGGCTATCCATACCAGGCAGTGCAGCAGCAGCAACAGCAAATGTCTCCTCAACAGGCAAAGACAGCCGTGCTGCTGTATCTGCAGCACCGGGTGTATCGACAACCCCCAGTGCAACAAAGCTGCGTCTGCTCCTGCTGCTGCTGCTGCTGCTGCTGTTGCTGCTGCNTCGACAACCCCCAGTGCAACAAAGCTGCGTCTGCTCCTGCTGCTGCTGCTGCTGCTGCTGTTGCTGCTGCTGCTGCTGCTGGCAGCAGCAGCAGCAGCAGCAGCAGCAGCCTGCTCCTGCGCCGCCAACTCAGCCATCGCAGTACCCACCGTCCTCACCCATACCTCAACGATGCAGGGGCCCCGCGCTGTCTGCAGCAGCTGCTGCTGCGTCCGCTTGAAGTGCTGCTGCAGCAGCCGGGCCCCCCGAGAGGTGACCCGGATTGCTGCTGCGCCTTGTGGGGCCGCGGGGATCGACTCCCAAGGCGATCCCCTGTGCCAGCCGGTCAGGCCTGACGCGCTGCTGCTGTGCGGACCTGCTGCTGCTGCTGCTGCTGCTGCTGCTGCTGCTGTGGAGGAAGAGGAGGAGCGAGGGGCTGCTGCTGCTGCTGTTGCTGCTGCTGCTGCTGGATTGCATGAAACAGGAAGGAACACAATTGCTGCGTCAACCAGAGCCTCGCTAGGGCAAACACACGTCTGTCTGCTGCTGCTGCTGCTGCTGCTGGGTCGCCGGGTGCCATCACCTGGTGTAGCTTTTGTTGCTGCTGCTGGTGCTGCAGCTAGTGCTGCTGCTGCTGCTGCTGCTGCTTCGTCGTTAGCTACCAACGCTGCCTGCCAAGACAGCAGCCGCTGCAGCGCGTCTCCTACAGACCGAACCACAGAGGCGCAGCAGCTGCTTACAGTAGCTATATCCTCAGCAGCAGCAGCAGCAGCAGCAGCAGCAGCAGTACTTGCTGCTGCTGCTGCTGCTGCTGTTGAGTCTGAAGCGGTCACGTCCCTTCCGTTTCCATTCCTGCTTTGCCCGGTGCAGTCTCCTGCAGCTTTCAGCTGCTGCTGCTGCTGCTGTTGCTGCTGCTGCTGCTGCTGCTGCTGTCTCTCCAAGCTGCTGTTCAGCAGCAGCATGAGGAGGTGCAGCAGGTGAGGGACCAGCCAGACCCGCCCCAGAACAGCATTTGCTGCAGCAAGCGCCTGAGCGTCTACACCGACGCTGCGAACAACCTGAAAGGCAGAAGCAGCAGGAGCAGCAGCAGCAGCAGCAGCAGCAGGAGCAGCAGCAGCAGCAGCAGCAGAACGTCCCCATAGATGCGAAGCAAGAGACTCACACAGAGCTGCTAACCCAGCAACAGATGAAATGCCGCCGTAGCGGCTGCGTCTGTCCTGCAGCAGCAGACGAGCAACAGGCGGAACCCAAGGAAGCTGCTGCTGGTGGTGCTGCAGCAGCAGCAGCTGCTGCTGCTGCTGCTGCTGCAGCTGATGAGGAGCAGCACCGCCGTCAGGTCTGCCCTCAAATAAATACGCATAGAACGGGCGACACACAACTTCATAGTCCGTCACCAAGCACCTGCAGCAGCAGCAGCAGCAGCAGCAGCAGCAGCACAACAGCAGCAGCTGCTGTAATACACCAGCAGCAAAAGCAGCAGCGCTAAGAGCAGCAGCAGCAGTAGCTGCAGCAGCTGGAACGAAGACTGCTGCATCCGTTTGTATCTAGCACCAAGAGAGCAGACGCCAGCAGCAGCAGCAGCAGCAGCAGCATCAACCGCAGCAGCAGCAGCAGCATCAACCGCAGCCGCAGCAACAGCAGCAGCAGCAGCAGCAGCAGCAAGGTTTTACCTATGCAGTTCTGCTGCAGCAAAAGGGGCGTGTATAGCAGCAGAGCCGGGGGGCCCCAAGAAGGTGACGGAGACGCTCTGTAGGAAGCGCAGCAGCCGCCAGACAGAGTCAACGGCGAGGCAGGTCAGCTGCGAGCTGTTGCTGCTGCTGCTGCTGCTGCTGCTGCTGCTGCTGCTGCTGTTGCTGGTGGTGTTGGTGGTGTTGGTGTTTGCGGGAGTCATGCTGGTGCTGACAGTGTGGCGATCGTGTTGCTGCTGCTGCAGCAGCAGCAGCTGCTGCTGCTGCTGCAGCTGCGGCTGCAGCTGCTGCAGCAGCACAGCTAGCCCTCTTGCTGCTACGCCTACACGGGAGCCCAGCCCCTGCAGCAGCTCAAGAGCCATCCGCAGGGAGGCGGGATCGACGCCCCCCAGCAGCAGCCGCAGCGCCGCATGCAGCGGCGCATGCCGCTTCAGTCTCTCCACCAGTCCTGCATATATCTGCCG